CTTGTCCAGCCTGAGCAGGAAGAGGGGATGCTCTCCTTAAAGCCATATGACTAATTAGCTCACTGATCCACCACAGGCCTCTGCTTCACCAGGATGTGACCCTGAAGGTCAGAGGACAGAGGCTGGAGCCACCTTGCATGCATCCCTAAGTCTGAGGCTCCAGCACTTGGCATGGCTGGGATGGAGAAAGCCCAGTGGAGACATGGGGATCATCTCACTGCCATGAAAGGTTGGCCCCAAGCACACAATATAGGCTGGTTTCACCCTTCTCCAGCTACCTGAGACAGGGTCCTGACAGTAGGAGCCCCCTCCCCAGCCTCCAGCCCAGCCCCATCCTTCTCCAGACCTACCAGCTGACTCCAGAGCCATGCGCATCTCATAGGAGCTCATAGTGCCTGACTTGTCCAGGTCATGCTGGCGGAAGATCGTCTGCAAAAACACCACAGAGGACATGAAGGGCAGGCTCTGCTGAGGCCTCCAGCCTGGCTGTCCCCTCACCCTGCTGCCCCAGGGTGCTACCCCTGTGCCATGCCCCAAACTCCTCCTCACCAGCCAGCTCCGGATCTTGTTCCACAAGATCTGAAACTCCACCAGCCCAAGGCGGGCACTGCCATCTTTCTGGGGAGTAGAAGGTTAAGGAGAAAGCAGCCAGCAAAGAGGGTGGTGTGAAGGCAAAGCCATCAGAACCCAGCCACCTGAGGTGAAATAAGGCTGGCCTGTGGAATTTTGCCCCCAACTTCCCCTCTCTGTTCTGCAGCATCAGCAAGATAAGAGCCTGCAACCCTGCACATCACTGTGGTGTCCTTGGAGCAAAACTGGGCTGTCCTGCAGCAAAAGGGGAGGCTGTAGGGTCAGGCTGGAGAAGGGCTCCAAGGGGCTCCTCTACCCTCACCTAACCCTTCAGCTGCATGTCTTTGTGCAAGCAGGAACACAGGCCATGGCTCCTGTTGCTTTACACCTCTCATCTTCAACTGCTGGACAGGATGGTTTGGAGGGAAAGAAGCCCAACAGCCCTCATTCCCTTCCAGGAGCACCTGGGCTGAGCTTCTAGCAGAGGAGCCAGGTCCCAAAGCAAGCAGGAGAACTGATGGCCCTTTCCAAAAAAACTACTGCTAAAGCTCAGAGGTGCAGGGCAGGTGGCCCTGAAGCCACAAGGACCCCTTCCTTTCCCTGGTTGAACAACCTCAGCACAGCCAGAGATCCAAGCCCCAGCTCCCACAGTAAAGTCTTGCTGCCGACATGCTGAGCACCTGGGACGCTGACCCCTGCCCGCAGCAGAAAGAGGATACATCCATCAGGTTGACCATGTTGCGGCAGGAATCCAGGCTGAACCCATCCGTCTTCAGGTCTTTGTCTGAGGAGGAAGGAGGAGGGTGAGCACGTGCATCAAAACCCAACCTGCTGAGCAGGCCTGGGTCCTGGAGAGCAAGGGGCAGGAAAGGCAGTGCTTACGTCTAGCGATGACTCTGTTCAGAATAATACGGAGCTCGAAGACACTGATTTCCATGTCCTGCAGCAGGAACAGAGTTAGCAACAGCCCTTGCCTGCTCTCCACCCAACTTATGGCCATTCCCCCCAGTCCTGCTTAAACATCTCTGCCTTAGTCACAAAACGTCAGGATGCCAATGCATTTCCTACAGGCCCAGAAGAGTTTGGGCCACAGCTGGATGCTCCTTCCCCAGATCTGCTCCTGTTACACCACCCCTGAGCCACAGCAGAGATGGACTTCTCTGCAGGGTTGGACTGAGCAAGCATGGGGTGGGCTGGAGCTCTCAGGTCCAGGGGTCCCCAAAGCTCGGTGCAGCCATACCCACCTCCCCTGCCAGCTGCTGGAACATGTTCTTGAAGCTGTCCTCTATGTCATCCTCAGTTATTTCCTCCTGAGGTGATGCAGGCCAGAAATAAAAGGTTAGTGGTCAAACCCGGGCCTTGCCCTGCCTCCCAGGCTCAGCAAACCCGAACTGGAAGGGAAGCTCTTCTTTGTTCTTCTCCTCTTTGCCACTTCCCACATCCCCATCACCTCCACCCTGTCAGCCCCTCTCCAGCCACAGTGACCCCTAAACCCAGGCAGCCACTTCCTGCTTGCAGCTCCCCCTCCCCAGCCCTAGAGCCTCAGCACCAAACAAAACAAAATGGTGGCTCCTACCTCATCAGCCAGATCTGCCGAGATCTCCTCGTCCAGCTCCCTGCAGAGAGAAAGGAGGAAAACAAAGTGATGAGGGGGGTCCCCAGCCAGCAGCCTGCCTGCAGTGGGGAAGTATCCCACTGTTCACAGGCACAGAGCTTTCCCTGTCCAGGCAGGGACTCACGCTGTGTCTGACTGCTTCTCAGTGAAGACCCGCAGGATGAAGTCGGCCTCCTTGTGCGGCTCGAAGGTGGAGGGCACCACGATGTACTCACCAGGGGGCAGCCGGATCTGGTTGCTCACCTCCCGCAGGTTGATGAAGGTCTCAGACCGTGCCCGTGACTGGTTTCGCAGGAAGAAGTCCTTCTTCAAGTGCACGTTCTGGCTGCCCTGGGCCTGGGGGACCAAAAACACTTGTGGACCACAGCTCCACAACAGGGGGACCCGCAGAGAGCAGTGGGACAAAATCTAGCCCCATCAGACAGGACATCCCTGCCCTGCCCATCCCAGCAGGAGTCATCCCTCCTGCATGGAGGTGCCCAGCACCCATGAGCACCCCAGCCACTGCCAGCGTGGTGGGATGGAAGCTCCTATGTCATCAATTGTATGTATATCACCAGTTGTATGTATGTACATGCACATGTGTGCATGCATGCATGCAAATGAAACCATTCCTGCCCACTCTTGCACTCTCCAATAAGAGGCAGTAGGGTCCAGTGGCTAGAGACATACCTCCTCAGGAACCTGCAGGGTGGAGAGAAAAGGGAAAAAAAATCAGAATCTCGGTCCCTGACCCTGTCCCTTACAGCCATGGGGAGCATAGGACAGGGGACATCCCATAGACTGGCCAAAGCAAGTGGAAAAGGCTTCCTTGAGGACTGGGGTGTGAGTCCATAAAGGACTGAGACAGTCCCAAAGAAGCAGCAGTGGGGCGGGCAGGAGTTACCTCGTAGACAGCGAAGCCGATGGTGTGCATGTCACCTCCCACCCGCCGCTCCCGCCGCCGGTGCTTCTGCATCAGAGCCACCAGGAAGCTGCAGGCCACCTCGTCATCCCCGGGGTCATCATCCTCTTCCAGCAGCTTGATCTTAAACTGGGGGTTGATCCAGAATGTGGCTGGGAGGAAGAGGACACATGGATGAGACACCTCATCCATGGCTCCATGGTGCTGCCAAGAGCAGAAATGTTGGGGGGGAGGTACCTGGGTGATTCCTGCAGCCACCGGCACTGCTCCCACGGCGCCAGGTGCCCTCAAACACCTGCGTGTGCCACCTGCTCAGCTCATCCTTGGTGAGGGCATCAGGGGTCAGGTTGCAGATCTCCAGCCTGGAGAACTCCCTCATGAAGTCCCGGAAAGACATCCTGTGGGAGGGCAGGCAGGGGCTGAGGACAGGGCACCACTGGCAGGGAGGGAAGAGAGCGCAACCAGCCACCGTTTTGGGAGAATTAGGTGACAGCAAGATCTTTTACCTTGAGTAATTATAGCTCATTTAAAGGCCACTGCTGGGTTTGGGGAAGAAAGAAATGTTTACCCTTCCTAGATGTTTATTTTGCAATTATTTGGGCTGAATTTCCCTGAGGGGAGGAAAATTATTAACTAGATCTGATGAGAAAAATGCTAGCAGGATCTGCGGTAATGGAAACCCAGCTCGTAAAGGCAGGTCACGTGTTTCAGGTGAAGGAGGACCGCAGGATCTCCCCCCAGCTCCTCTGCTCCTTCCCAGGCTGGCTGCTGAAAAAGAGCAGCACTTTGGCACTCACCAGAACTCTCCATCTTCCATCCTCAGCTGCAGCTCTTCCCTGTCACCAGGGTCGATGTTGTCCCACTCGGAGGAGCTGGAATAACAGCAGAGATATGATTTGATGAGGGCTACTCAAGATGAGCCAAGAGCACTACAGAGCTGGCCCTCAACTGCCCCCCTCACTGATGTGAAGGGTACTGCACACTGTGAACTTCCCCTCGACAGTGCCGTGCATCCAATTGCCGTGTGTGCCCCAGCGGTGGGACTGAAATCCCATCTGTCCGACTCACCCATCGCTCCAGGCTCCGGTCCACTCCACCTGGCCCCAGGGGTTCCTGATGCGGATGAGCTGTTCCTGCTGGCCCCGGTAGTTCACCTGCCGGCCACCAGACACAGCAGGTTGAGCCCATGCCACAGGGCAGGCTATTTTATTGCTATTAAGGTCTCAACTAGCCAACTCACCTCTCTGAAGGCTGTGACAGAATAGGCGTGTCCCTTCACCAGCTTCTTGAAGGTCACTGCTTCCATATCAAAGGCACTTGTGATCTGAGGAGAATGTGCAAAGTTCAGGTAAATATGATAAATTTCACATAGTCCTATCCCTACCCCTTCCCTCCACTGTGTTAAAAATGCCCCTTGCTTTGCACTGCCCCAGCCAAGAGTAGCAGCAGATACCCACACCCTCTGCTCAAAGGCAACTGGCTGAGGACAAGGTCAAGACTGTTCCCCAGCCAGAAGACCCTGAAGATTCACCAAAAAACCACCCAAACTTCAGAAAGCAAAAAAGGATTTCATGAGAGGAAACAAATGGAAAACCCAACTCCAGATAATTCTCAGATGCTGACATTAGACACGGCCAGAGCTATAGGCAGACCCTGAT